TTTTTCCTCCTGAGAAGCTGAGAGGCCTCAGGAACAAAATGTAGACATTGATTATCTGCTGCTGTGGAATGCAACAGGTGCATCTGGGATTGGTCTCATGTGGTTGTTGCTAATTAATGGCCAATCACAGTCCGGCTGTCTTGGACTGTCTGAGAGTCACAAGATTTTATTATCATTCCATTCCTTTCTATTCTTTGCTAGCCTTCTGATGAAATCCTTTCTTTTATTCTTTTACCATAGCTTTAATAATATATATAATAAAATAATACATAGTATATAATATATAATACATATAATGTATAATATATATAATGTATAATACATATAATGTATAATATATAATAAAGTAATAATATAGAATTTTAATAATATATCTAATAAAATAAAAATATATGTACAAAAATAAAATAATAATATATTATAAATATATAGTAATATATTTATTATAGGTATTATTATTTTTATAATATATTATATTTATATATAATTTTATATATTATATGTATTTATTATATATAATATAATGAACAAATAAATATATTCTATATCTATATACTACACCCAGAAAAGTTCTTCTCTGGCTCACTGGGCACTTGGAAAGAAAAATGGGGAGGGAATAAAATCTGTGCTCCTGATAGGTGTGTGAGGGGCTCTCTGGCCATTCCTGTGCAGGGCTGGGGCAGGCACATCCTCCCATCTGGAACTCCTCAGGGATCCTGGTGACTCATTTTGAACACAGGATGAGTCTCACACTCAGGGCCAGACAACTTTCATTCCTCATTCCCAATTATCTTTATTTCTTTTTTAAAAGATAAAGATTTTCAAAAGTATTTTCCACCTCTTTGACTTCCTACCAGCAGCATTCCCAAAGCACAAAGCTTTTCTTTCACCTGGGATCCGTGCTCAGATGGACGGAGCTGGGGCACCCTCCTCATCTCCTCGTTTTTGATTATCTGAGTGCCATGAGAGCTTTGGGGAAGATGTTCTCCTTTTTGTCTTCTGCTTCCAGGGCTATTAAATCAAAACTGGTCCAACAGGACCAATTTGGTCTCTCCACACATTTGTTTTGGGTGAGGCTGCAGCTTTTTAACAGAGAGCAGAGGATTTAACAGGCTGAGCTGATGACACACTCACATAATGGAGGGTATTGTCTTCACAGGCACCACAGTGACTTTGGTCCCAAGCCTTGCCAAGTTCTGTGAGGATTTAAGCTGTACTGACAGGATACACTCTGGGCTTGTCAGTAAAACTGGATTTTCAACTGCTTTTAAAGGCACTGACAAATTAATGCTAGAATGGAGAAGCCTGGTAAAATTTAACATAAATATTTGTACAAATACTTATGAAATATTTTAAAAGAGCAAAACCAGAGCAGAAGTGATGGAATTTGAAGACTTTTTTTTTAGGTTTTTTAACAGAACTCACAATTTCAACCTCAGAAAGTTCAGCTGTGTGGGATGAGGAGAGGCAGGCAGGGCACTCTTGAGGAAACTGGGATTTTAAGCAAAGCCAGTACCTTGGGAAGTGACCCTCTGTGAGTGCACAGTGCTTTCACAGAGAACAGAGATCCTGGGGCAAACACAGCCCTGCTGACCCCCCTGTCCCTGTGCAGTGACACCTGGCACATCCTGGCAGGATCCTGGGCAAACACAGCCCTGCACATCCCCCTGTCCCTGTGCAGTGACACCTGGCACATCCTGGCAGGATCCTGGGCAAACACAGCCCTGCNGCTGGCAGCTGTGGATGCACAGAAGGATGTGCTGGCAGCTGCGGATGCACACAGGGATGGGCTGGCAGCATGGCAGGGATCCCTCCCTGCAGCTGTGGATGCACACAGGGATGTGCACACAGGGATGGCAGCATGGCAGGGATCCCTCCCTGCAGCTGTGGATGCACACAGGGATGTGCTGGCAGCATGGCAGGGATCCCTCCCTGCAGCTGTGGATGCACAGAGGGATGGCAGCATGGCAGGGATCCCTCCCTGCAGCTGCAGCAGCCCAGGCACAGCCTGTGTCACCTGGGGGCAGAGCATGAGCACAGGCTTAAGCAATTAACAAAGCTTCTTTCCAGGATTTTAGCTCCTCATGGGTCTAAGCCTGTAAGGTGCTCGCTGGGCGCAGGCTGAGCATCCTCAGATCCCACCATGGGCACAAGTAAAGGTGCCTGGTGCTCCCAGCCAAGGCTCCCAGCATGGCTTCTCCGAGGTCTGGAAAAAACAGAGCAGGAATGAAAGCGGAGCTGAGAGCCAAGGGCTCTCACTGACCATCAGGAGCTTCCCTCCCTGCTGCTAACAGGTCTTGGACTTGCAAAGCCCTGGAAGTGCTCAGCCCCCCTGGCTGCTCTCAGTGTGAGCGGTGCATTCGCTGTGTTTTGACTGATCTTCCCACCTGAGGAACTGGGAGTGCTGTGCAGAGCCTGCTGCACTCCCACGGAGCAGCTGAAGCACAGCTGCAGGCAGTTGTTTTCTCAAAGCACAGCTTCTCCTCCTCTGCTCCCCCGCACACAACTCCACCGAGTATTACTCAGTGCAGAATCTGGCCTGGAGTGTTTCCCTTGGCAGGGCTCCCCAGCCAAATTTACCCTGCAAGACACAGCAGCACAGAAAATACCCTCTTTACTTCCTCTGGTGTAGTAAGTACTGCCAGGCTTATACCTCAGCATTGAACATCCCCAAATTCCCTCCCTTTACCCCTGGAATCCTCCTTAGTTTGTGGGCGTTGAGGAAAGCTAACTACAATTCAAACAGCAACTTGTCACTGGAAATTGAGTTAATTCCATCCAACAGGATAAGCCGCACTCAGGAGAGGTGGGTGGGAGAAAAGCTAGCTTAACACTCTGCTTTTTAAAATCTGCAGTACCAGCTACACTACAACTGGCCATGCTTTGAATGAATGCTACAGAAAAAACCCACCAAATGCTGCACAGAATTACACATTACACCCAAAAACGTGGGCATGCATCATGCCACTCCTTCTGGACACAAATGCACTCATGTCTGGAACACTGGAAGGAGGGAGAGCAGGCTGTCATAGACCAGTGTAATTCACCAATGTGTGAATGTGGACATCAGCTGAAAGCACTGGAACACACACTGGGCCGACAGGAGCACAGCTACACTGAGTGGCCTGGTGCTGGTGATGGGTTTTTCCCTGAGAACGGATGCAGATTTGAGAGACAAAAAAAAAAATAATGGAAGGAGGAGAAAACGTGTCAGGGCAACCATTCAGCTGAGATAAGCTACAAAAGATAAATAACATTATAGTCCTATTTTCTCCATCACTTCAGCACACACTGCCCCCCGAGCCAGCTGGGATCCACGGCGCTCTCCACAGATCCAACAGATTGCAACAAGTCATGGCCCCAAACTCCCGGGCAGGGGCTGTCCCCCCTCGGTCCCACCCGCCCGGAGGTGCCCGGGGAGCGGTGGCCNGGGAGAGTGTCCTGGATTGCTAAACAAATTGTATTTTATTTACATCTGGATGGCAGCTGGCTTCTGTTCAGTGGGCAGCTTTCCTTATCTCTTCCACATCTGGGCAGACATCTGCTGATAAGAGGCCATTGAATGTCCCTGCATGGCTGATAAGAACTGCAGCAACCCATTGGGAGATGTGAGCCCAGAGGGAGGAGCCAAGCATTCCTGCCTGGATATAATCTGGAGGTTCTGGAACACCAGCCAAGCATTCCTACCCGGATATAATCTGGAGGTTCTGGAACACCAGCCAAGCATTCCTACCCGGATATAATCTGGAGATTCTGGAACACCAGCACGGCTTCTCCACTGGGTTTCCCAGAGGAACAGCAGCTGCCTCTGCCCCTGGATCTTCAGAGGAAAACTGCACCTTTCTCCAGGATCCCTGCTCCAGCAGAACCACCCCTGACCCTGCAGGAGGGCTGAGCCACAATTCCAATGGGACTGCTGCCAACAGCCTGACCCACAGGGTGTCAGGTTGGGTTCTGACTCTGGCAGTGTTGGTTTGTTTACTGCATTGTTCATTTTATCTTTTTATTTTCTTCCCTATTAAAGAACTGTTATTTCCTGCTCCCATATTTTTGCCTGAGAGCCCCCTAATTTAAAATTTACAGCAATTTGGAGGGAGGGGGTTTGCATTTTCAATTTCAGGGGAGGCTCCTGCCCTCCTTAGCAAAATTCTGTCTTTTAAAACCCAGACAGAGAGGCCAATGGCCACCAAGTGATGGGGTGCCCATGGTTCTGGAGGAGGAGGATGGAGCAGTGGGCAGTGATGGATTGCTTGGCTGAGTTACCCTGGGTGCAGGTCCCATCCCTGAGTTTTACCCTTTGGAACAGGGCATCCACAATGCAGGAAAAACAAACCCCAAAGCTGAGTTGAGACTCACAAATGCAGCAGCAGAACACTGCCAAGGGGAGGAGCTCAGCCCTTCTCAGCACCAACCCAGACAGAGGCAGCTTTGCTTCAGACAGAAGAAATATCCATTTTCCCAGCAGGAATTTGCAGTTCCCAGCTGAGTGCACAGTCCTGGTGCTGTAAGTGAACATCTGCTGCTTTCTCCATCCCATTTGCCTGGTTCCAGCCCCCCTCACTGCCTGCTGCTGTTTGCAAGGATCAGCCCTACCTGCTCTGATTTCCAAGGTAACACCTCACTCCTTA